GGTAGATTCTTGCTCTGTTGCCTAGGCTGTAGTGCAGTCATGTGATCTTGGCTCACTGCAACCTCCACCTTCCAGGTTCAAGCGATCCTCCGGCCTCAGCCTCCCAAGTAGCTGGAACTACAGGCACATGCCCACCGCACCCGGCTCACTTTTTAAGTTTTAGTAGAGATGAGGCTTTGCCATGTTGGCCAGGCTGGTCTCGAACGCCTGGCCTCAAGTGATTCACCCACCTCAGCTCCTAGAGTGCCAGGATTATAGGCACGACCCACCGTGTTCAGCCACTTCACTTACTGAATGTTTTGAATATTAATTTTGCAAATTATGTGAAATGTAGAAACATATAGACAAGCCCCTATTTATGTTAAATATATCAAAGATTATGGTTTTATATCCATAATTACACTAATTAAGTGACTTATTTATGTTTTGAATATTTGTTTTATTTCTAGGCTCCCGGGGAGCTTTCTGTGAAGTGAGACCAGATGATAAAAGAATTCTGGAATTTTACAGCAAGTTAGGCTGTTTTGAAATTGCAAAAATGGAAGGATTTCCAAAGGATGTGGTTATACTTGGTCGAAGCCTGTGACATTCATTGGCACCGTGAACTGTCCAAAAGTCTCTTAACTGCACCTTGTGGGTGGTAGTTGAGGTCTTCATACAGTTCAGCCTCTGGAGTGGCAACAAATCAGCCAATTGGATTAGAAACAAAGAAGACTATGTAAAACTCACCCATCACACTTTTAGACTACTCACTGGTTGGAAGAAGACAGTATGGCGGCAAATCCTGTTTGAGAGATGTGGGCTTCCTTTTTGAGTCTTGTGTTAGGTGTTGAGACCTTTTACATGGGTTTATACAGGGAGAGAATCTTCAATAAATGTAGTCAGCACTATTTTCTGCATCCAGTGTGGTTGCATTTCTCACCAGAGAGTAATCAAAATAACATCTGTCATCCTCCTTGGTTTATTGAGTGAAATGTCTCTCAGTCTTTGAGGACATGGCCGAGATGAGAGAAAGTGGGTTTCAGGGATGTCAGGGTGGAGTGATTTCAAGTGGGATGGTTGTGGCATTAGTTTAAGCTGAATAAGTAATTTCAATTTGGGGCAGTTATGCTTTTTGTAAAGCCGTGGCCAATTGTCTCCTGTAATGACTGTTGGTTCAGGCATGTTGTACTTTGTAGGGACAAATGTGCATTTGTTTGTGGCAAAAGCCTACAATTGACAAACTTGTAAATTTCTTTGTATATAAACTAGCTGTAACCTATCCTTTGTGTTTACTGTTTTTGTAAATTTTTTTCCTCTAAAAATGGAAGGGTGTTGGTTCAGAATGGCACTTTGAATAATGTAAATCAGTGAAAAGTAGATTTTCGTTACTTTTGACTTTGGGTTTGGGATTGTTTTTGTTCTTTTTGAAGTTCTATTATTTTTAAAGTGCCTCCCACCTAGTCCTAGGCCGTGACCATTTGGGGTACGAGAGCCTAATTTTGTAGGACTTAATCTGTTGCAAAGTGCAGTTACTTGTGGAAACGAACCTCAATACTAGGTCAGCATGTGAAATGTTGGATTTGACATCTGTCAAGTAGGGTTCAGGGACTGATTGGTTCCATTTGCCCTTCGGTCAGTTCTTTAATCTTGAGACCTGTTACTACTGATTTTATAAAATCAGAGTCTGATTCTTGCATGTTTGTATCTAATTTCTAAAAGAATGAGCACACTTTAACCAATTATTTACGGTAACCTTTTTCCTTTAACCAGATTGTGAAAGCTTCATGTATTTTAATTTAGATTTGGTGTTTTTAAGGGTTCTGAGCATGAAGCTGGCAGATAATTTCTGCAGGACTCATTTTTTCATCATGGCTGGCTGATTTCTCCATAGACTCATAACAGTATTTTGTTATCTTGCTTCTCTGCAGTTTTGCATCAGCTGTTTAACTTTTAGCTGAGTGAGGGGAGAGGGGTAATGAGAAGCAAACTTGAAACAATTTTTTTCGTAGAACACCAATATGGGCTTTGAGAGAGCCCTAAAGCATTGTACCTGGTGGCACCTAGTGACTTCCAACCAAGGCCTTTGAGTATGCACTAAATAGGTGAGAAGAAAGAAGGCATTTAGGTTAGAAATCTTTAACTGATAAATGTGATATGTTGTAAAGCTGGAACCAGGTTTGCATTTTTGAGGGCTAGAGGTGAAGGGACAGTAAGACAGCTGAATTTTCCTCAGTTTTCTCATCTTTAACACTAGTGGACAATTCTAGCATTTTATCAGGAGGATTTCAGGATTAACCTCACAGAATCAGCATTTTTTAGCAAGTTTGCTTTTGGTTTTGTCTTGGCTTCTGGTAATCATGTTGACTGGTCTGGTCACAGGTGTTAACTGAAACAGATGCCCTGGTGTTTGCTTTCATCATGCTTTCATCACTCTAGGATCATGAAATGCTATGCTATTTCCTGGTTATGAATATTAAGGTTGGAATGACATTTTTATTGATTGTTTAGATCAGAGCTCAGTTCCTGTAGAAAACGAACTGTAAAAGACCATGCAAGAGGTAAAATAAAACTTGAAGTGAATGCTTGTGTTGTATTGTGTGAACCTACTTCCTGTCTACCCCCTCCTACCCTTTCTCCTCTTTCATGCCTCACCTGCAAGCAGGTATGCCTCCTCTCCACAGCTGTTCCAAGTTAGAGACTGGATCTTGAAGGCAGCCCTCCCCTACCTCCATCACCAGTAAAAGACTTCCAGATTTTCCTTAAGGCAAGAGCTAAGGAAAGTAGACTAGTTCTTAGCCAAGCCACCCCACCCTCTTGCCACAGTTAAAACCTGGGCTTCTAGGAAAAGGTTGAAATAGGGCTTCTAGTTTGAGTTTTTGCCATCTAATAGGATAGAGAGCACACAGTTGGCCTGATTCTTAAAAGGTGAAAGATGCACGAGCAGCGTAAACTGACAGAAAATAATCCAGTACGCAGATATTCTTGGCTGATTTGGAATTAAAAGCTCAAAAAGCGTGGGTCAGCCAGGAACAGCAACACATAAGCTAACTAGTCCTCTGCTGACAAGTGCCAGCAGCTAAGGCTCAGTGAAAGCATAGCAAGTTGCTGGGTCATTAGAGGAGGAAGCTTATCTAGGAGAGATTTATGAGACGACAGAAGTGTTGGGAGGGAAATTCTTGGCTCTCTTGAGGCAAAGACAATCTGCGTTTCCTTTGATTGTAGCAGAAAAGCACTGCCCTGAACCCCGCCTTTGCTGCGAGGAGGTGTAAGAAGGGTTTACATTTTTATACCTGTACCTCCTTTAACGAAAGCTTACCCTGGGTTGGAAGAGTGTCTCCCAGGTAGCTCCGAGGAGCTAGGGAAGTGAACACCCTCATGGTAGCGGAAATGAGCAAGGATGTTAACATCAATCTCAAATCCATTTTTCTGTGATGCTAACTTCATTTCTCTTCAGTCTTGATACAATTGAGCAGAAGCTGCGGGCTTCGGTTAGGACTGCGGGGTCTCGGTTCTTTTTCTGTTTCAGGACTGAGCGTCTCCTTTAATGGGCGGGGCCGGAACTGACCGAGGGTCCCCGGCTTTGTGCGTGTCGGGGGCGGAGTTGGAAGAAGGCCCTTGCAGCATGGCCGCCGGCACTGCAGCTGCCTTAGCGTTTTTGAGTCAGGAGAGCCGAACGCGGGCCGGGGGTGTCGGGGGCCCGCGAGTCCCGGCCCCGGTCGCTATAGACAGTTTTTTCTTCGGTATTGGGAAAGGGAGAAGTTGAGGGTGGTACTGGGGCGGGAATGCGGAGGGGTGCACGGCGTGGGTGTGGGCGGAGAGCTGCTTCTCTCTTCACGGAGGAGAGGGGTCTCGCACGCAGAGACTCAGCGGGCGGCGAGATCCCTGCCCCAGATGTGTTGGACGGGGCCCAGGTCCGAGCGCCCCAGGTGTTCTGAGAGAAGAGACCGGGGTGGAAGGAGGTCCGTCCGCCCAAGGGTACACGTGACGGTAGGTTGGTGACACCCCCCCGTACACACTCTAAGGCATACTCACTGTTATTTCTCCCAGGCTGTGAGCTCTCCGGCCACACCCGCTCTTTCACCTTCAAGGTAGAGGAAGAGGATGATGCAGAGCACGTGCTGGCATTGACCATGGTGAGGGGCGGGGGAGCGGGGTTTTAATGAATAAACCCAGGCAGGCTGTAGTGAGCCTCTACCCAAACCCCGAACCCCTTTTACTTGGAGTCACCTCCTTAGCCTGACCCCTGGCATGGGCGGCTCCCCCTGGCCAGGTTATACGGGACCTCTGAGGCTGGGCAGGTGCTAGGGTAGCTGCCTTTACTCGTGGTGTCAACCCTTGCTTGAGGATACCCTGAGGCCCTGTGTACCCTTCCCAGCTCTGCCTCACCGAGGGAGCCAAAGACGAGTGTAATGTGGTAGAAGTTGTGGCCCGGAACCATGACCATCAGGAGATCGCAGTCCCTGTGGCCAACCTCAAGCTGTCCTGCCAACCCATGGTGAGTTCCCCGGCTCTGCCTTGGTGGTGGTGTTGGTGAGGGGTTGAGGACGTCAGATCACAGTGTGGGGTGGGCTAGGAGTGGACCGGGCCTTCATCCTTTTCTTCCTTCCAGCTCAGCCTGGATGATTTCCAGCTCCAACCACCTGTGACTTTCCGCCTGAAGTCGGGTTCCGGCCCTGTGCGGATCACTGGGCGGCACCAGATTGGTGAGAGGAGGGGAGGGCCCTCTCCTTTGCCTCCCGTGGACTCTCTCATCAAGCTTCCCCCACACTCCGCACTCCTGCCCCATCCCAGCCTCATCTCACGGTGCAGCCCCATACAGGCCTGCATGCCCTCCCAGCTGTACCCCGTGCATGACACCCCGTCCCATTTCTGTCTACTCAAGCCTACCTCCTCCATGGAATATGGCCGGGCTTCTCCCGCTCCAGTGATGGGGACTCCTTTGGCTCTTTGTGACCCAGTTTAGGGTCTGAGGTTCTTCCCACCTAGCCCATAAGCACTGGGAGGTCAGGGTCCCTGCAAGCCTAGCACCACAGAGCATGAAGAAATGGCATGCAGTGTGAAAGGGTCTGGTCTTAACACTCCCTCCCTTTACTGCTTGTGTGACCACCAGTTACGATGAGCAATGATATTTCTGAGGAGGAGATCGAGGAAGAGGAAGAGGACAGTGAGGAGGAGGAAGCTGAGCTGTGCCCCATCCTTCCTGCCAAAAAGCAGAGGGGCAGGCCCTAGCCCTCCTTGGTGAGTTGGGGGGAAGAGTACCCAGTAGGCTCTGGGAAGGGGCAGGAGAAGCGGGCGAGGGCCTACATGCTGATTCCTTGTTTGGTCTTCTCAGGTCAGTTCCATGCGCCACACACCGCCATGCACCCTGTTCCCCAACAAGTTTCAAGAATTGTAAATGTTTCTTCCTTGAAGAGGAGACCTTGGGTGGGGTTTGGGTGGGAGGGACTTGGGCATTGGTGCTAAGAGAGGGCCGGTGCTCCACAGGACCTTGGTTTTCTGGTCTTGCACCATGCCTGGGGCCTCTCTTCCTACCTGCCTGTGGGGATTGGAGGTTGGTGCCTGAAGCTCAGAACTACACATTTTTAACACTTTTTACATTTTTGGATAAAGGTTGAAATAAAGTGGTGTGGGATTTTTGCAGCCCTTGTGTGACTTCTTCCTGTGCTGGGTGATGTTTCCCTAGGGACCGCCAGGTGGCACTGTGGCAGTACCCAGGGTGGCCCTGGGCCTGGAGGAGGGTGGAGAACTGTGGGATCCTCTACCTTCAGGGCTGGGCCCCTGTCGCCTTGCTGGAAGGGTACCTCCCAACACTCAGCCCATTCCCATCCCTGCAGGTGGGGGAGGGCCATCGCAGGAGGTTATCAGCGTCCAAACAAGGGGTCTGGGCCTCTGTCAGCACTCAGGCTGATGGGCAGGGGGCAGATAAGCTGGCTTAGACAGCCTGAGGAATGTGCATCCCTAGCCCCATGAGGGGCTCCAGCCCAGGGAGGGCCAGTGAGGGCAGGGCGGGACCAGGCTTCACTCCTCCTTTGAGCCTTGCTGGCCGTCTCTGAGCAGTGCTGGGCCCTTAGAAACCTGACTCCAGGGGCCAGATGGAGGGGACCAGCCAGATTGGGTGACAGGGAAACCAGAATCCGGGTGGCCTGGCATATGGGGGCAGAAAGAGGCCCCTGGGAATTGGCCTCCTGGACTAAGGGGTTCTTGTCTTCCACACATCTCCAGGTCTGAGGGTCTCTGGCACCTGGAATCCGGTAATTCTGGCACTTGGCTGCCTTTGTGCCAGGCAGAAGGGACACACCTGGTTTGAGGATGTGTGTGACCAGCTCTGGGGTCAGCAGTTCAGCAGCTGTGTTGGTGGGGGTGTGGGAGGGTTGTCAATGCCCACAAACAAACAAACAAACAGAAAACGTTGCCTCCCCAGTCAGCCTGGGACCAGACAAGCTGAGGATGGACAGAGAACAGGGCCTGGTGGGGGTCAGGCCAACTCCCACCCCCAGCCTCTGGGCAAGGGGGAGGGGCCCTAGGATCTCGTGGGCTGGTGGTTCTGGGGCAGGTGAAGTCAGTTTTGAAGACCGTACGCCGCAGTACCGACCCGCACGCTCCTCAGCGCACCCCTAGAGAAGGAGGTTTTCCCCCAGCCCGTGGTGAGGAACTAGGGGTTCAACCCTCAACCTCCTTCCTCAAGTTGAGGACAAAAGGAGATGACGCCCGTCTGTGTTGCTGTGATCTGGGTCGTAGGCGCCCTTCTCCGCTCCAGAGGAACTCTGCTGAAAATGCTTCCCTGGGGAGCCCGGCGGAGGGGCGGCCTGACTGGGAACCATGGGTCTCGCTACGGCGCGCGGTCGGCAGGGAGAGTGAAGGTGGGGCTAGCGCCCTCTGGCGGATGAGGTTGAAGCCGCTAGCGGCCGTACCGCTCCTCCCGCCCTCTCTAGAGGCTGCGGGAGGGCGCCGTGGCGCCGGGACCTCCGGGTCCCGCCAGTACTCACTGGGCGGCCGAGTCTTGAGCGGAGGGCGGGGGAATGCCATTGAAGCTTGCGTGTATGCGTGCGTACGTTCATTCATTCATTCGAAGAACTCGAGTTGGAGCGCGGAGTCGGGCCACGGCCCTCCTTTTTCCCTTCCTTCCTCCTCTTGGCTCCAGGCTCCCAAGTCCTCCGCACGTGCTTGGCAGGAGGTACGGGAGACTGGCTGAGTGCCTCGCAGAGTCAGCTCGCCCGAGAGGCCTCCCTAGCTGACCAATCTACCCCCTGCGCGGCCCCGCCCCAATATTAACCCCACCCACCCCCCACGATGCCACTGATCGCTCCTTGCATTCCTCTTCAGTTTTCCGGGCTGGTGTCCTGGTGGGTGCGGGACGGCGCCGAGCACGCTCCTGTCCGCAGTGGGGGCCCAATCCACATCAGCCTCTCGGCCAAGGAATTTCTCGGCCGGTTGGGGCACCCCGCGGATGCAGCTGGGCATGGTTTTTTCCTCTCTCCCCCTACTCCCTCCTCGAGGCCCCTTCTTTGCCCTTCAATGCACAGTAGGAGCGCTGCTGGCTCACTGTGGCCTCCGGGCGCTGGGGGATGAAGGCATATGCCCGAG